GGAAAACAGCTAATGTACAGAGCAGTCCTGCCTCCCTAATTTCAGATAAGACATTTTAAAATTAAAGTTTTTATAAGGTTACAGACCTGAAGATTTCAGGCGTTTATTTATCCAAACAGATACAAGCACATCAGAGGCAGTGAAAGCTTTCAAACACTATCTAGCACACGCTATCTACGTGCTATCATAGCTCAATAAGTTTATTTCTAGGGAAGGACAGTTATGCCTCAAAGCCCATTTAATCCATGTTTTGTATGTTTTGCAACACTACAAAAAACTGCCAAATGACAGCTGTTTTAGAACAATGACAGTGGACTTGCAGTAATTGGAAAGACCACTATTTCTCTTCCATAGCTATCAGCTAATAGCTGTCTAACAGGTAAGCAGTTTTTTGTCCCATACTGGATTTGAAGTTCTGATCTAGAAAGGAAAAATGTATCCTTTTAGCAATCCCTGAACCACCCAATCTTGAGAGTACTGTTGTCTACAAAGTATCACTAGATTTCTTTAGTGGCAATCTAATATGAACTGCTTTTTTCCCTACAGCACTCCTAAGAAGCAAGGGTGGCACACTAAAGTTTAGTATTCTGACAGAGATGCATATAAAGTCATTTAGGGTTTTCAAACATTCCTTGTGACACATTACTTCCACAGGCCAGGGACCCAATGTTTATAAGAGGGAAAAAATACTATTAATTTAAACAATATGCTCCTTTGCAAACGTTCTCCCTAACCACATCCCTTTTAGATTGTAACATTCCCAGTGGTTAATGGTTTAAGAACAGACATTCTGTCTGAAAGATATACTTTTATTCATATTATGGATTATATGGCAATGAGATTTTTCAAACTGAGTTACCCTGCAAAAGAATGTTGGTCTACCTGGTTTGACAACACAATGATTAAAGCAATACATGGTAATATTTTCAAAGGAATAAGTAGTACTACTACAGGATTGAACATTATTTATCCAATAGGTGTTAACAACAAACATCTGCTATCAGACAATAGGTGTCAAAACTACATTTGGCAGACCAACAACCTGCCATGAGAAGATAATCAGCTGCACATTTCTTGCTCCTAAATCATCAGAGACAACCCAAGCTGTCAAAAATATGACAGCAAATCCCAGCAGAATTTGACTTGGGTAGTGAGAACTGGAAGCAGCCCAGAGAATCCCCTTTGGGGCTAAAATTTTAAAAGACAAAAGAAGGTGCAATTACATGTTTGCTGTGAAACTTGAATGCTAACCAGCAAAATAATTTTTTTTTTTTTTATGTATGATGCTATTTAATGCATTTCCTTCTATGCCCTTCTAAGGGATTTAAAATTTAGCCTGTTTTTAAACTGGATGGGCATACAATAGTGGCACTCAACCTTTTGGTCTTGTGGGTCAGATGAAATTGGCCCTGCACCATTATGTTCAGGGTCCTGCGTTGCCCTCATACTCCAGGGTCTGGCTTTGCTCCACTCTGCACACCCCCATTCCCTGGAATCAGGCACTCACTTATTCTGCATACCTCATTTAGCATGCAGGGCCACGGCCCAAAAGGCTCCCCACAGACCCATGGGTTAGATTACATGGTGCTTGGGGCCAGATCTGACCTGCAGGCCAGAGGTGAGCATCCCTGGTATATAACGATCAACTTACCGCTAGGTTTTCTTTTACCGGTTCCAAACTTCCAGTTAGTAGCCTTGGAAGACGACTTACTAGATCCCTAGTCTACAATTTAAAAATGGAAATAGTTATTGTTCATAAAAAAACAGCTTAGAAATCCACTCATGGAACTCAATTACATGCCTTTTGTTCACATTTTTACTTCTGTACCCTCTCACATTTCAAACAGAAGAACATAGGATAGACAGAAGTACAAAAGCTGGAGTCAAATTTCACCATTCCCCATTTGAAACAGGCTAGGTTCTAGATGCATGAAGAAACTGCAGAGACACCTAAAGACTAATAGCAGGTTGAACCACCAACCCTCTCTCAGTTCTTAGTATTTGTTCTTTTGTAGCCAATCAGTTTTGAAATCTTCAGGTACTCGTACCTGTACAGAACTTATCAACTAATACACTTTACCCCTCCCACAGCAGCCTAAAGGCATGGAACAGCGATCCAACTTCAGAAAGTTAGCAGTGGACAGGGAATTTCTACAGAACACTTGCTCCATTGTAACTGGGAATCTGCTTGGCTCCTAGCCCAATGTAAGGGCAACTTTGCCTTGAATAAATATGGCTAAAGTGTTTTGGTTTAGCTTTTGCTCACTGTGGGGGGCAAGAAAGGGCAGATGGACAGTTACTATACCTCAACTGCTTTGCAGAAAGTCCCCACCCCACATTCACTCACCACAATTTGATTCTTTGTCTATACCTTGAGAAAAAGAGCATTGGCAGTACATCTTCATTCCATTCTGTTATTAGGCTGACATAAGGATTTACCATCAGTCTGAAAAATGTGTGGTTTTGTACTGTTTGAATATTTCTCCTTTCTTCTCTCCAATGTCAAAGCCCAATTGCCAAATGTTATCTTTTTGGCTAAAGAACACAGGACTTTCTGGAACATGATAATTAAGGAATGATGTTTGAATGAAACAACTAACCCATCTTTCAGAAGACTGAATCAATTGCCAAGGCCTTGAAGACCACAAAACCAGACACCTGATCTCCTATGTGATCATATACTGTACTGCCAATAGATTACTGGACTCAGCAGACAGCCAGGAGCATATGCTGTTATGACACTTAACACCATGATATACCTATCACTGGGCACATCTACACATTCATTAATGCACTTTTGCGACTGCACATTAAGTCAAGTACCTCTAATATGAGGTACTACATAAAAGTGCATTAGGCTGCTCTAATGCACAGGAGGAAAAGTGAATGCCTTTTTAGTGACAGTTAATGCACAATAGACTAATTCTACTGTCCATTAGCATATTAGCACTGTTTTGGACGTGACACTTTGATGTGCAGTACAATAGGCTACCGTGCATAAAAGCTCATGTGTAGACTTGCCAACCAACAACTTAATTACATTGCAACATTTTGAAAAGATGGGACACCTACAACATCAGAGGTCCTTGCTAGCCTTCTGTAGTAGGTCACTGGATGCCAATCTGTAACCTTTGTAATACCGCATGAGCATTTTTAGGTTAGAGAGAGGTAGTCAGCTGCGTTAGTCTGATGTCAGTCAGAAGGCAGCATAAATATGCACCCTTATAGACTAACAAAATAAGATATATTAGGTTAGTCAAACATGTGTTTCAGGATCATCCTACTTTCACTAACAAAATACTTCAACATGTCGACATATCTTACTTACCTTCTGCACACTTAATCCAAGTTCTTTTTGGAAGAAACCCAATCTGTTATCTAATCTTTCCACAGAAAACATCAGCAAAAATGGAGCTCTCGAGACCATTCGTGCAATTGCTTCCTTACCAAATTTTTTTGATTTTAAGTAAGCCACTCTAAGAAAGAGAAAAAATAAATTGCAGTGACAAAAATTTTATTGCTTCCATCTAGCTGCTCAAATTCCTCAGTGATATCTTGCAAATAGACAGATGTTTTAATATTTAACATGAACCCAGCCGAAAAGAATTAGAGGAAAAAAATCTGCAGTTATCATAAAAGCTAAATACCATCCCATCCCATCCAATTAATTAAAAACAAAATAAACATCAGAACAAAACATTAATACTGAAGACAGACTTTTAATTCTTTCCAGCTGTATTTAACCAGATAGCTATTTTAACCTGTGTTGAAGTACCAGCCTGTTTTATGGATTAAGTATAAACCAAGCAGTGAGGCCATGCCTTCTGTTGTTTTAATGAAACCTGCTTCTTTTGCTTTGGTCAAACTCAAAGAGCTCAGTGCCATCCTCCCTTTCACATTCCTCTTCTGCCAATATCAAAGAATAGAAGCATACAACAATGTAACCTATGGAGAAGCCTTCCAAACATGTGCATCAGAAGTCAGCTGAAATTACTTCTGTAACAAAAGATCCATACTTTTGGTTTTCAAAACCAAGACTTGGTTATAAAACATCTGGTTGTCAGAATACTGAAGGAGAAGGTCAACATTTCTGTTTAACAGACGTTTTTTCCTTTCCAGCTTCTCCTCCCCTTACCTCTCCTGAATCTGCTTGCTTCAGCAAAAGTAAAGTCCTACTTAAAATACTATCTGCAGTAGATTATTATCATGGCTCCCAGAGAGAAATTACTTTAATTTGAAAAGATTTTCTTTGTTCATAGTTAAACAGAACTACAGCAGTACCTGGTTGTTAAGCCGGTGCGAAGCGGCTAGTATTCACTTCAGATTTGGACGCGGCCAGTTCAGGGGACAGTGATTCCATCTGGTGATTCAAATCACTGTCCCAAATTGATTCAGCTGAATCACACAGGCCCCTGCCCGCTCTCCCAGCCCTGACCACCCCAGCTCCCGGCTCTTTAAAAAATAAAACCCCCACTAACTGGCTGCTGCCAGGAGGGGGACATGATCCCCGCTGCCCCTTACTGCCCCATGCGGGCTCTGCCACAAGCCCCCCAACCCCTGCTTACTCCCCTAGCCTCCCCGATGGCTGCCCCACCTGCCCCTACTCAAGCCCTTAAAAAAAAAAAAAAGCCCAGACTCACTAGCTGCTGCCTAACAAGGAGGGGGGAAAGGGGGAAGGAATGCCCACTGCCCCATGCTGCGTGGGGGGCTCTACACGAGCCCCCCGAAGCCCCGAGACCACTGCTGCAGCTGGTAAGTGTGGGGTTTTTTGTTTTGGTATTTTTTTCTCCTTAAAGGGCCGGAGCTGGGGTAGGCAGGGTAGCCATGGGAGGGCTGGGAGAGTGGGCAGGGGTCAAGGAGCTTGTCGCAGAGCCCCCCATACAGCATGGGGTAGTGGGGGGCAGCAGAAATCGCTCCCCGCCTGGCAGCACCCAGTGAGTGGGGACTTTTTGTTTAAAGGGCCAGGGCAGCCATGGTGGGGGCTGGGGGAGCAGACAGGGATCAGGGGGCACTCGGGGGTGGGGGGAGCAAGCAAGGGATGGGGCCTGGCAGAGGTCCCGCTGAAGTCCCTTCCCCCACCTCCTACTTACCAGCTCAGAGTCTGGGTCCAGTCCCCCTGCCAGAGCAAGCAGTGACTGCCCAAATCACCAAAACTCTCTGAATCTTTTCCAAATCAATTTGGAGAGCTTCAAATCAATTCGGACCTTTTAACTGGTGCTGATTCAATTTGGATTTGGAGATTAAGCCATTGAATCAGGCCGAATCTCCTCCTAATCGAATCAGCACCCAAAGCTTCACACAGCCCTACTGATTGTCATCTCAATTTAGTACCCATAAGAATAGATCTTATCTGAAAATACTTATATGGAGTAGATTGAAGAATGCTTCAGGAAGCAAAGATCCCGAAAACTAAGCCTGCTTTGTCACTTCACAAAAAGAACACCTCCCACCCAACTGAAAAATAAGGTCCCTTGGGCAAACCCCCCAATGAGAAAAATAGTCCTATGCTGTATTTGCTGGACACAGAAACAAGACTGGGATTTCTCTTGGGTCCTGACCTGGGACCAAGTGTGTGTGGTTCATCTTTCATATTAATTGCTAGACAGTAAGGATCCAAAATGAAAATGCAGCAAGATGTGCATCATGGAGTTGAGAGTAGAGAGAGAACCAGTCCCTTGTGCAACCCCCTGGCTATAAGAGTTGGGCTTTTGTTATTCCACCTCACAGCCAGCCTCTATTTCCCATATGTCATTAAACACAACCTGCAAAGTATTCCTAACATGAAATGGGCCTCATAATGAAATAAAAAAAACACGCAAGTCTGGGGGTCTTTTTCTTTCCTTTTGGTTTGGCAAGTCATCAGTCTTCATATTTTCAAGCTTTCCTCTACAACAGCAAGGGCTACAAACTTTACAAAAATAAATTTAAAAAGTAAAAGACTGATTCTTTTGTGTTCATGCAACTCAAAGAACTTGCACTTTAAAAACAAATACCAAGTATGACAAGGTTTACGATAATCTTGTAAGACCTGGCAACCCCGTGAATTTTCAACTTAACAAAAGGACCAGCAATTTTATAAAGTATGTTAATAGTTTATTTTGAAATTTTGTTGTTGGTGATTTGAATCTATCTGGTGCAGCTGCATTACAAATACCAATTTGCAACAGTCACAATTGTTATGAATTATGGAATGTTTTGACTTTTACAGTGTTTATCTCAAGTCATAAATGCCAAATGTATTGAAACTTGTGTTTTGTTCCTTGGAAACATGGAATCCCTAGCAATATAACATTCCAAAGAGTGATATAACCAATTTTGGGTCCATCTGCATGGAAGTGTTTAGGCACAGGTGATACACCTCCTTTCATCTAAAAGATATTCATTCAAATATACAACTTTGCAACATACATACTTTGCATATACAGCTTTGCAACACATGGATCTTCAATATTAATTTAACTTAAAAGCTGCACATAAACATTCATGAATGCCAAATAAAGTGTCAACTCACTAAAATCAAACTAGCATATTCACAAAGAATTGGAATGTTAACCTTGCTGCCAGATGGTATTTCAGAACATTCACCAAAATAAATGCCTGACTTTATAGCACAAGCAGAGTGACATTTACCCTAAACAGTGTCTCTCAAGAATGCTCTAAACAGCTGTACACCTAACACCGACCCAACAAGCCCACTTTAAAGATTCAACTGAAAAATGTTTTTAATAAGACATAGGCCCCTGAAAGATGTTACACTTAAGATGTGATTAACCAGTTAATCATGTCTTAAGTAGCAACTCAGCCACATGTTCATGGAATTAATGGCATGATAAAGCAGGGAAAAATCCACAAAGTTATTAGACAAAAAATGATGTGTAATAAAGTTGTGGCTGGTTCCCATCATGCCTTAAATTGAACATGTGGCTAGTGCCTATCAACCAACTGAAACTCTCAACACAGGAGTGTACCAGAGCCTCGAAGAGCCTCTGACATGCTCCTGAGGCTGGGAGTGCCAATCAGCTGACTGGCACTATGAGCCACAGGCACAGCAGGCACCTAGCCTGGTACTTGCTGATGCAAGAGGAGCCTGGGATGATAATCCTCAGACTATCACAGTACTTGAGATGCATATAAAATCAGTAGGGGATGCTTGGGATGCATGTAGAATAATACTTGTAATCCCAGGCTCCCCCTACACTGGAAATAGGGCATGAGTGGGATCTGATCCTCCATCTCAGAGTCACACCTGCTGCCATGCACATATGGCATGGCAGGAGGTGTGATTGTCAAATCATGAATCAGATCCCATCACACCTTTAAATGAATTCCTGTCAGTGGCCATGTATTTTCTGAGGGGCCATTTTGCTGTTCTAGGGATGGAAAGAAAGAAGTATTGATCTTAAAACTGCTAACAAGAATGCTGTTGTTTCAGGTCTGCTAACATTTCTACTCTAAAATTCCATTTCCAAGAATTTCTCTCTTAGATGGACAGCTTTGCTGTGTGCAGAATCCAGGAAATAGAGCCAATCCTCTGGCAAACTGTATTTTAAAACATTATTCATAAAAAGAAAAGCTGGGAAAAGGGGGGCAGGGACAGTGGGTTGTAAAATAAATTCAGGTTTATAAAAACTGATTACTTTACCAAAATATATTTGTCTCAGATACTTTTTTTCAAGTAAAAAAAAAAAAAACCCCTTCCCCCTTTTTTTTTGTGCCCCCCAAACCCCCCCCTAGTCGAAAAAAAAAAAAAAAAGCCCTTTCCCCTGATTCTATGTGCATCCCAAACACTCCGCTAGTCTGAGACAGAAAGTTAAACTGACAAGTCTATTTCAGTCCTCAAGTGGACCTGGGTTACAAGAGCAAACAAACTTCATAAACAGGAAACAACATTAAGGTGCATATTTTCAACACTGCTCAGAAGCCACACAGATTAGTAATGGAAATGCAAAAATAGCCTTTGTGCTTCCTCAGTCCAGGATTGGCAGTGTACCTGTCTCCCACTGTAATTTATACTGGCTGTCACAAACTGCAAGGTTCCAAAAACAGGCAGTGTAAACTGGAAGCCCTGGTGTCCCAGCATCTGCTTTCAAGCACAGTAATAGTTAGGTCATCCTCAACTAGCCTGACCCATGCAAGGGGTCTTTTTCTGACAATATTATATGCTGTATCATACAATACAAGCCATTCAACACATTGTACTTTTTGAGTGTGGGTATAAAATCCCTCAGTTTCACAGCAAATCCTTTTTTGAAATCTATCTTCACTCTGCAAGCTACTTGTTTCTCCTTGCAGGCTTGTCTCTGCAGATAGAGTAGCAGGCAGGAACAGGGTGCTGCAGGACTGATAATGGTGGATCCTTTGCACCAGAGGACTGCAGCACAGCGGTAAGTTTTGGACACACTGCAGAAACTGGAGGGCTAGGAGCAAGGGGTAATGTGGTCAATCTCATACTCAGAAATTTAGCAGAGCTTTCAGG